ATATCCCCGTTGAACTAGAACACCATGTAGCCGTTCGACGAGAGCTGCGTCGAAAGTTGCTGCTAGATAAGAACAGCCGGTGATCCACGCAGAACTGAAGTAGTCGATTACCGTTGTCTGTTGGCTGGGCGAGGAGGGCGAAGTGCCCTCCTACACAGGCTTCGGATGCGCTCAGTTTTCCGACCTGTGCGTTAAAATTACCTGCCAGCANATATCCGAGTTGCGGTTCAACCGAATCAGTTCGGCGAGTTTGTTGTAAAAATCGTCCTTTTGTGAAGCGGGACTGCAATTGGTTGGTGCATACGCGAAAATGATGAACAAACACCTCTTGGTGTTGCTACCGTTCCGAACACTTAATGAACCCTGTAGCCTCATTGCGCACAGATGACTATTGACGGGTATCCAATCTATCATAGAGGCTTCAGCTTTATCGTTTAGTACGATACCTACACCACGCTGACCCAGTGAACGGGCTTCGTCGTCGCCTGATGTGCGAAGGAAATACCTCGTGGACAGACCCGGCGCACTCAGATGGCTTATGATACTAGGATCCTGAATTCGTATCTCCGATAGGCAACAAACATCGATTTCTAGAGACTCCATTGTACGCGCAAGACACGCCTGTTGACCCACCTGCGTGAGTCCTCACGTTGAAAGCCTCCAGATTTAGAGGTTGACGAAGCTTCAGAATCTTCACTTTATTTACAGGAAAACTAGTTACACTGCTATTTGGCAAAGACCTTTGGCGAGTGACGACCAAGTTGTCTGAGGGAATATTACAGGTCAGAAGAAGCTGTAAAGGGATAGGGCTGGGTACGGAAGATAAAGAGTTAAAAAAGGTTGAGCTATCTGAGCGGTAGCCCACTTATCACTACCCACCCCGCTCGATGCAATGGGCAGCGCGGTCCTGATTATCCTGCGCGACGACCGATGCAGTATGAAATTATTTTTTGTTTGTGTGTTCATTGGAACTTTATGGACCGGTGCTGCCAGGGTGTCCAGCCACTAAGCAGAAGAAAGATTAGGGTTCTCAACTAAAGCCTTTAGTTCTAACAAAAACCTAACCGCAAGGCAGCGGTTAAGGCGGATTGGAGGCCCATTAACTTGGATCAATTATTCCTCCAACACGTTTTATCGAGTAAGACACCGACTCAAGTCGAACCCCCAACCTGGAGGACCAGGAGACTGGACTTAGTCTGACCTCTACCCATTGATCTTCCAGGCATGATTAGATCTTTGACTCGGTAAAAGCCATCCTGTGTAGCTTGTTGGTTCATAGAAGTGCACAAGCCATCACGCCACGTCAAGGTGCAGTCTCGCCGCCAGTAAGCTAATTTGCCGTTT